ACATATTTATATGCCCTGGGAGAATAGAAATACAATGTCAATGCGAATTCTTTAATTTCGTCACTGTATCTTCTTGCTGATGGGGCAGACTGGATGTTGTCTTGGAAGTTGTAGAGAAATTTGAGTTGAGTGTTGTTGAGGGTGGACAGCAGAGCTTCGGATTCTTTGGGCTTTAACACTAATTTTTCTTCTAGGAATTGAATAACGTCATGCATGGTGTTCATCTTCTTCTTGGTTCTTCTTAGTTTTTGTTGTAGTGTACGTATTTTTTGCTGTAATTTTGTGTGTAATTCATCTCTTTCATCACTTGAGGCATATCTTGATCTTTTTTCTGGAATCGAAGCATCATGTTCATAGGCTGGACATGGCCTCTTGTTTATTCTTCTGTTTAATTCCTCATCATGTGCTGTTAATGTTGGTGGGTCAGAATGTACAGGTGAAGCAGATGGAAAAGCATATTTTTTGAGTCGGCATGTGTTGTTGGATGAAGGAGGCAAGATATAATCAGTTGATTGAAAATGCTTGCTGCATATACGACTGTACCGGTTGACTTGCCATGGCTTTTTATTAACTTTTTGAACATAATTCTCCCAACATTTTAGTAAAGCATTATTTTTCAAAGGAAATCTATAACAATAATTATAATTTTTATGCAAATTCAGCTTTATTTTCACCCTTCTGTCCGTTTGCTCGTCTTATTTATTTTTGTTTTTTTGTTGTAGGTGATGCACACATGTCAAAAGTCAAAATGTGTAAAAATAGGCTTGTTTTGTTATATTTTCTTTGAAGTATCTAATATCACAGGTTTATTTTTGTTTTTTTGTGTGTGTATACTTAAGCCCTGGGTAAACTAGGAAACATTGTTGCGGAAACATTTGTGATTCTCAATGCTTCCTTGAATGCTTTCCCATTTTCTCACCTGTAAAAATATTTTGCAGAAACAAATTTTGCTTCCTGGGACACAAGAATGTTTCCTATATCAAGTTCAGAAACATTTGACGTTTCCCTGTGAGATTTTTGTTGTGGAAACATTGTTTCTCTGTTTGCCCACCCCGGGAACCTTAGAAGGAAACAATGTTTATTTTTAGTAAAGTAAACAAAAAATAAATAAATACCTGTGAAATGTGAATTTTTAGTAAAGTAAACAATAAATAAATAAATAAATACTTGTGTGTGAAATGTGAATTTTTAGTAAAGTAAACAAAAAATAAATACCTGTGAAATGCAATAGCTTCCCCACAAGAGTGTACATCACTGGTACACCCACGTATGACACATCCGACTGGCATGTGTAATTAAATAACTGAATACCTATGTATATCAATGAAAATGACTTTTTTGCAGTGGAAATTGTTCTACATCTTCAATTGACAGTGTTAAAATGCGCTCTGAGTTTTTCGCTGGAGAGAGCTGTTACCTGGCAATCTGATTCGTGATAAGATGTTTAATATGTAAAAAAAACTTGTGTGTTTGTAATTATTGCTATCTATTTCTTTTTATTTGTCATTTATGGCTTATAAGGATTGTTATGGTCATGTTTAGTGGCTTCAAAAGTACATACGAAGGATTTTTATTTTTCCGCACTCAGGGACAAAACTAGGTTTAACTTCTTTGGATTCTGCTCACTTGGCACTTCGAAAAACAAAACGAATAACAAAAGTGTAAATTCCAAATAAAAACTAGGCATAGTCTTCATAAACTTCATTAAAAAAACAAAGTTTATTCAATAAAAAACATCTTTAGGCAGCGACATGATTGATATTTTAAAACAATTTAAATGCTTGTGTTTTGGCCGCGCGTATTTATCGCGAGGAAAGACTTGGTTCTAACCGGAATCGCGGCTTCAAACTTCCGGCTGCACGTAGCGTTCCATATATTTTAGTTCAATGTGTTAGCCTTATAGACTATTTATATTTACAACAATGAGGATATGATATCACTTTCCTAACTGTGTTTATCCTAACCCACCCTGCCAATTTTGCCCTGTGGGAGGAAACCGGAGCAAAATATAGAATTCAATTCCTTTGAAAACACCTAAATTGCAATCCCTAAAATTAAATTTTTTTTCTTAAATCGCACTAAATCGCACTAAATCGCAGTGCTTGAAAGTCCCAGTTTTTCCTTAAATCGCCTAAAATCGCCCAAAATCGCATTATATCGCAGCGATTTAAGGCGATTTACCGCCCCAGAGTAGGCCTAATGGAACTCTGTACGAACAACTCGATGGCGTTTCTATGGGGTCCTCGCTCGGACCCGTTCTAGCAAACATAATTCTCACCGAATTTGAAAATATCATTGTTTCAGATCTAATCAATACAGATGTCATAAAATTTTACCGTCGTTATGTTGATGACACTCTGGTTCTCATTCGGCCTTCTGATATTCCTCATGTTCTCGCAAAATTTAACAGTTTTGATAAAAATATTAAATTTACGATTGATGATTTTTCTGACTCAGATGTCCATTTTCTCGATCTCAAGATTACTGATGACGGCATTGATGTTTTCCGTAAAACAACTCACACAGGTCAATACACGCATTTTTCAAGTTTTGAACCATTCAACCGCAAAACCACTTGGATTAATTCTTTATTCCATCGTGCATTTAAGATCTGTTCCAACCAAAAATTATTTGGCAACCAAATTCGTACGTTGAAGTCTTTCATGTCATGGAACGGATTTCCTCTTAAAATCCGGAACTTTTTGATACACAAGCTCAAAAACAAGGTTACATCTAACATTAATTCATCTGAACAAAATGCCGACAATGATTTACACAAAATTTATTTGAGAATACCATATCTTGGTAAACAAGGTGAAAATTTAGTTTTCAATGTTATCCGCAAAATCCGTCGCAGTTTGAAAATTCCTATTAAACCAATTGTAATTTACCAAACTAAGAAAACTTCATTTTTCTGTCCAAAAAAGGATAAAATTCCAGAACTTTGTCAAGCCAATGTAGTTTACGAATTTAAGTGTCCTGGTTGTGGCCAAACGTACATAGGTAAAACTGAACGTAACTTACAAACGCGACTAACACAGCACGCTACCAACTACAACAATTCTAGTGCCATATCTCAACATCTCTTAGATTGTCCTGACGCACACTTCATCTCTCGCCTTTTCTCATTTCCTGACATTGATTCTGAGGAAGATTTCACTGACTTACTTTGCAATCCTCGTAATCTAATTCAAACTAATACTAAAATCCTATATCGTTGTAATAATAATAATCCTAATCAACTTCTTATCCTAGAAGCACTACTGATAAAGTGTAATATGCCACATCTCAATAGTGGTCTAAAAGCTTGTAAAAAACTATCATTGTTCTAAAGCCATTAGTAATTTTAAACTTCCGCTGCGTCTGTAAATAGCTATACATATAGATCACAGCTTACTTGTAATTTCATAGGTCTGACGATGTCTTTGGAATAAAGACGAAATATTACCGACTCTGTCTTTACACTCTTGTTTTTATCTTGAATATCAAGAAC